TTCTGGCTTTATTAGGCATCAAAACGCATCAAACCCTAATAGAAATTTGTTTCTAAATACCTCAGGAACCATACTGCGTCGCCAAAGTGCCGAAATATTGCACTTTACACGTGCTGTAGAATTGACATAGGCGGCTCATATACGTATTGCGATGCAGACATAAAATAATTAATTACTCAGTACCCGAACATTATTTATGAACTTTTATGATTGAATAATGATCAGTGATTCCTTAGCTATTTTCCTATATCATAAAAGTGCGTATATTATGCTTAGAAAAAGTGTAATTAATGATTTAAATCAGCTCCTGTATACCGTATGACACGCCGACTTGCTGTACAAAAATCATTAATAACTAATTAATTCCGCAAGAAACTTGAACAAATATGATATCGGAAAGTAGCTAATAAATCATAGATCATTCTTCAATCATAAAAGTTCATAAATTGTGCCCAGAAAATGAGTAATTAACATTTTTTCTATGCATTTATTATCGTATATATTGAGTGACGCGACACTACTGCGCATGCGCACCGCTGTGTGCGGCGCCTGTGACTGCGCATGCGCGCTGGTTTGCGCGGGATACCTCTTACTCTGCATACCTCCTCTACTTTTCTGTGATCCTGATACTAAAAGTAGATTCTGGTATCCCACCGCTATACCGTACCGACCGAAATTTTCCTGTTTTAGCCTGTTTATTCTACATACGTACTCAATAGAATACCATACACCGACCGAAATTTTCCTGTATTAGCCTGTTTATTCTATGTACGTATAATAGAATACCATAGGGCTACACCACTTACAATGAAATATTAATAACTAATTAATTCCAATAAAAATGTGGACAAATATGATATGAAAAAATAGCTACGTGATCACAGATTATTATATAATCATGAAAGTAGGTATATTATGTTTGGAAAACATGTAATTATTTATTTTTAATGAGCTCATGTATACTCAATGACATGCCGACTTGCGATGGAATATTCATTAATAACTAATTACTATCAGTACAAATCTGAACAAATGAGATACGAGAAAGTAGCTAGTGATTCACTGATGATTCTTTAGTCATAAAAGTGCATAAATTATATTTGGAAAACGTGTAATTAATAATTTTACATCAGGCCATGTGTACCAAATAATGCGCCGACTTCCGATGCAATATTCATTAATAACTAATTACTGTCAATTCAAATCTGAATAAATAGGATATCAGAAAGTAGCTACGGAATCACTGAACATTCTTCGATCATAAAAGTTCATAAATTGTGTTCAGAAAATGAGTAATCAACGTTTCTTGCAGATATAATTACCGTATATACAGAGTGACGCGACGCTACTGCGCATGCGCACTTGTTTGCGCGGGATACCTCTTATTCCGCATACCTCCTTTACTTTTCTGCGCTCCTGTTACTTGAAAAATAGTTCCTGGTTCCTACCGCTAGATGGCGCTAGTAGTACTTTCTACCGTATACCTACCGTTTTCATACTAATCTATTGAATATTGATTTTTCATTTCGCAAGCCGGTAATATGCTCTAGAATATTGTGCTTTAATTTCAGAATTTTTTAAAGGTTGGGATAAGGTGGAAACGTCAGGAGAAGCAATACTTTGTTGTTGAAATTTAGTTTGATTAAGTCCTACCTGTAGCAATTTTTTATTTTCAGTTCTGACGGCTTTAAGCGGATACGTTATTATTTTTAGTTCTATTATGTTCAATAAAAGTTTAATTAGTCTCAAAATGCTGAAGGAGTCTCTAATTTGAAAGAAAAGTGGAATCTATTATTTCATAATTTCTATCGTTGTTTGATAGGTGGTGTTACGCGCACCTTTTTGTACTCAATTAAAATTGATCTTTCCAGTTTAATTTGTTGTCAAAAAATTAAAATAGCTGTACTTACCGATTTTTGCTTCATCTGTTGTACATATGATTTCATCTTGAATGAAGTATAACGTCAAACTAATGTAAATTGCGTTTTACAATAAGTGTCAAACATTAAGGTTAGAGTAGACATACAAAGTAGTGGTTCGTATTCAGAACGTATGAATATTTTTATCGAATAATTTGCGAATAAACATATTAAAAAATGGCTGCAATACTGCGAGTAAAACGTAGACACGACGACGAGCCTACAAATGCTTTAGTGATTTCGTACAAACGACAAAAAACAGATGAAAGCGAGGAAGCGCAGTCAATTTCACCGGTTCCGTTAACGACACTTGCAAAATTCGCTGGAACTGTTAAGAAACAGGTTTGTATTTTAAGCGAAAGTCTTATCGGATTTAAGTTAATATGTTCCCATTTCTTTTAAACAGGAAGATAGTGTTGATCATTTAATTCAAACTTATGGAAAAGATGATTTGAAAGTAAATTTCAAACAACATCCTATAGATATCCTAAATAAACTAAGGGAAACAACGAAACAGTCTTCTGCAGAGAATCGTTATAAAGTTGTTAACTGCTGCCGTTCTTTGGATGATTCTACTTTGGAGGATTTCGAAGATGTGGTCATGACAGTCATAGACATAGAGGATTCTAAGTCTATGGCAAAGCAAGATGCTACCGAAAAAGTATGCAACATTTTCTTGTGCTTAAGTATAAAACAGAATCACTAAATACATTGTATTGTTATTTCTAGGATGATAGTTATGTATACGATGTGTACTATGTTCAAACTGAAAATGATATATACTTGGATAACATGGTGTCTATATATCCATACGAGCAACAGCTGGTTTTCGATGGCTACAGAGAAAACCAATGTGAACCTGAATGCGAATCAGAAGATTCCAACTCAGAATCCAATTGGAGAAACGATTATCCTGATTCTCCTCATTCTGAGAGATCAATCGACGAGGATGACATGAGAGAGGCAGTTATGAATATCAGACTGGATGAAGGGTCTGATTTATCAGAGGAAGATGATTTCGTATATGCGGTTGATGAAGCTGACGTGGAAAATTATGGTTACAAATATGCAAGATATAAGGCAAGGATAAAGGAAGAATTGGGAGAGGAGGATGAGGACAATGAAAATCACCTGAGCGATTACAGTGCTATATGTTTTTCTGAAGAGGAGGAAGATAATTCCAGTTTAGATAGCGATTTAGATTAAGATAATATAATTTAATTAGATTTAATTTTTCCTTTGTATTATCAGATAGTTAAGTAAGCAATATTTTTAATATGATATCGTATAGTGCGATTTAAATTGATGGAACATACGTTTTTCTGTGAGACAACTGTGTAATTTAAATTAGCGTTCTCATCGCGTAGAAGTAGGGGTCATAAAGATCTTGGAATTTTGTTTAATCTATATATTTATTACATATTTATATAGATATATTTTGTATGTAAAATTGATCTATCAAAATAAAAATAATAAAGGTAAGCTTAGACGTTCGAAAGTGGCAAAAGGAAGGTGTGTATAGGTGTTCAGAAAATGAATCATTCTTTTTTTCGACGATATGGCATATAATGATATACCAGGTTTATAATGTATAACAAATTGTTGGAAGTACCAGACAGAGATTTACAAATGTTCAGCAATAAAGGTATCTTCTCTGTATCGTGTCGTTATCAAATCTTTTCTGCTTATTTTTTTATACTGGAATACCGTGACTTTTGCTTTCCTTTGAACGGTAATTAGCAGAAGGCCCGTAAATAATATAACAATTACTTTATAAAAGTATTCGCGAACGGCTCGCGTTTATCTGACTATACTACTCGCCAAAATATGAAAACAATTTTATATAACTGAGATTTTTCGAATAACGTTGTCCCCTTTCTGACAACGTTCATGTTACATCCACGCATTCTCTCCTTTTCTCTCTCTCACTCTTTCTCTCCCTCTCTTTCTCTCTTTATCTTTCTCTCTCTCTGTCTCTCTCTCTCTCTCCCTTTCTCTCCCTCTCTCTTGCGCATTGTCAAAATTCATACACGAAGAATTTCATGTTTTTTTAACGAACTCGTTTATAATGATATGAATAGTACGCTGCGTATACGTGTAACACTGGCCTTAATTCTAATTTTTACATTGACGCGCTCTCAAACGAGTCGTTACTCGTTAACAGATGCTTTCTTTTGATTACGATGCAACGAAGCAAATGCGCTGGTAAGAATCCAATTAAATACCATATTTCGAATCGGAAAGGAGTACTAACTCGTTTACTTTTTCCTATTGGCGCAACTTGGATTCGTAATGAAGGGACATGTTTTAGATCACCACGCGTTGTATATCCACGTTTTAGATCGCCACGCGTTATGTCATCACATTTAGTTACGCCACTGGTTTTTCGTTTCCATGATAATATGTTCCGAGACTCAGTAGCTAATGTTTCGAATGGCAATTTGGATACAATTATCAACGTACTTACTCGTCGACACTACTCACGAGCGCGACTTTCATGGACATGAAATTATTTCTTTAAATTTATGTATAATATATTAAACGTCATATTGCAACTCAGCATTTTTTGCACAAGCTGGGAATTGGTATCATTCAGGATTATTACTATATCATTCCGTAATACTCTACTCGCCTACTGTACAACATTTTACACTTATTAGTTTTCGCTATTCCTTAGGTATGTTGTCGATTATCGGTTACAACTACGAGATTATTGAAGAGTCATGAGATTGCACACCTTTGTATGGTTCGAATCGTGGTTATCGAGAACGACTGCACGCAGAGCTTAATCACAACCACGATCCTTCCTATGCAGGACGTGGTGTTTCATTTGGTAGCTCTACTTTGGTATTTCTTTACATTTTTTATTTTTTTAAATCAGGGTCGACGCGCGTGAAGTTTGAAGCCTTTCTAATTTAGACCGTTTCAAATTTGGAACATTTCGGGTTTCGAATATTTCAACTGTGGAGTGTCCCTAGTTTCTGGCGTTTCAAGTTTGGAGCACTTCAAATTTCGGTCATTTTAAATTTAAGACATTCCTAGTTTGGAGCGTTTTACGTTTGAAGTGTTCCAAGTTTGAAGGATTCCAAATTTAAGGTACAACAAGAACCCAGAAATGTTCGCGCCGGCCCTGTTTTCATTTCTACATCTTATCCTGAATATACTTAAATCCAAAAGCGAACTACCAAACACAAACACAATCACTGAACGTGTTCTCGCTCTATCTAATTTCGCTTATCCTTAACGGAGTTTCTCGTCACGCGTATATACACGTCGGCTAATTGAACTTATAAGTACAAACAATTCCCTGGATCAACAGAAATCACACAACGGTAGTCAACTAAATCGGATAGTCGATAATTATATTATATTATATATATATGTGTGTGTGTGCGTGTGTGTGTGCGCGCGTTTATGTATGTGTGTATATATATATATGTATAAACTGGCAACAATTAACAGTCCCATTAGTTGTCTCGCTGACGTTAGTGTCGTGTCCTGAGAGTCTTAAAGTACGGACGCCTCGGTCCTGCCGGTAGGAGGCGTGGTAGCGTGGCTGCTCGAGTTATTATTGTTGTTGTTGTTGTTGTTATTGCTCGCCTCGCCGGCGTGGCTCGAGCAGTAGAACTTCTTGTGGGCAATGAACGTGCTCAGGTAATTGAAGCTGATGTCGCACGACCTGCAATAACGAGGGCCGCTCTTGTTGGGATCCAAACTTTCTTCCGGAGGTGGCGTATCTTCTCGTTCCTGTTTCACTTTGCTGGTCACCGTTGGTGGTGGCGGTGGAGGAGGTGGTTGTGGGCTCTTCCGCACCTCCGTCTTACCGTTCATTTGCACCTCCGCAGGTATCTCTTCAGGCGTGGTGGCTGGGGCTGGTTCCGGAGTCGGAAGAATCGTCTCATCGTCGAGTACGCACGTAATGTAGTTTTCTTCCTGCAAGAATCAAGTTATTTCGATCGTTGCTCCAAGGATCGTCGCAAGTCAGCTGAACGTAAAGTTATAAGGTATAACGAAGAGGTACTTACTTGTAAGTCCGTTCCCCGTTTCTCGAAATGCATTTTGATGTGCGTCCTCATTCCACGCAACGTGTTTCCTTTGTATCGACAGATGGTACACCTGAAAGCCTTGACACCCTGATGAGCATCCATGTGACGCTGAGCAGCTCCAGCCGTGGGGCTAACCGCGCCACACACAGGACATCTCCAGCCACCCGTGGGCCCACTGGAGCAGGCGTGCGTACTTCCAGGCTCGATTATAGCCTGCAGAACAAAGAGTGAAACTTTTACTATTAACAAATTGGACGATACACTTCGTGGAAGAGGCTACCAACCTTGCACTTGGAACACCTCGAGTGATGTTCCTGGGGTTCTGGCCTCTTAGGACAGTAAAATGCTTGATGAGCTACCAAATTGTCCATGGAGGCGAACTTGATGCCACACGCAGCGCAGATCAGTTGGACCAGAGGAGGCGAAGGTGTCCCAGGTGGCGGAGGACTGCTGCTGACCGTCGTTTCCCTTGCTTGGCAATAATGCTTCTTATGGGCGACGAAGTTCTCGTGTCGACAGAAGACGATGTTGCATTCTTTGCACCTGAACATCCAGCCAAGAACACGTTAAGTCTGCGCGAATAGAAGATATACTTATGGTAGCAAAGGGTATGTTACCTCGAGACGCCCTGTTTCACGAGGACGCCAGGAACCGGCGGAGGTGGCAGCTCTGCCAGTCTTAGAGCGAGTTCTGTCGGTGGTGGAGGTGCAACAGTTCCAGCAGTCGTTGGAGTGGAACCGATGGACCTCGCTCTGGGACTACCGCTTCCTCTGGATCTTGGACTGCCCGGTGGTGGAGGTAGAGAAGACGGTGCCGGTGACACCCTGTTCTCTTTCTCATCTTGGTGTGCCGGTGACTTCCTGACACTTAGATCGAGAGGTGCCGATCCAGGCGGCGACGTGGAAGATGCTACCACGGAGACAGGCGTGGTCGGCTTGTTCGCGGCTCGAAGAACCGGCGGTGGTTCTGCGGTGTTTTGTGCTGTGGCTGCGAGACCCCTCGTCATCGGCTGAAGATGACCTACGGAATACAGGAGCCCTCAAGTCATCTTAATTCTATTTAGCTTTAGTTAACTAAGCGACAACTAGTTACTTTAGACATCGATCCGTTTTAGGAAAAGCAATTACAAACCATTCGGAAGCAGGAAACACGCTGTGTCCGGTGCGGGCAGAGTCGGAGCAGCCAGGACACTGGCTCCTCGGAACAGAGAGTACGGTACGATTAGGATAGGGTTCGTGGGCAGTGCCAGACAGGGCTGCGGTGGCGGGGATTCGCCAGGACTAGCACTAGTGGGTGGAGACGCCTTCACCGAAGAGGAACTCGCGCTGGCCGCCGGTGGTGTATCTTTGACCACGTGCCTGGTGCTACAGTAGTGAGTCTTGTGCGCTCTGTAAGTTTTCAAGGAGCTGAATCGGATGTCGCAGTTCCTGCAATATCTCTCTGCCTCTTCGTTGAGAGAACCGTTGGAGGTCGTTGCCGCTCCG